AAGAGTTTGCAAAGTGATATTTAAAAGCAAGTGAAAAGTTGATAAACACTTTCCTTCCATGTTTCCAGAACGGTCTCACAAGTTCTATTACTACAGAAAGGACCAGTCCGTTCTCTGGAAACCACCACCGTTATCACACATTATCCAGACTGTGGTGACCCAGGGAAATAATCAAAAATAAGGGGAGAGAAGTAAAGAAAAAAATTATGCTAAGTACCCAGGCCATCACCTCAATATTGTGATTATGTATGTTGCACCTGAAAAAGAGCTGAAAACTGCTACAGACTCCCCTGTTTCACAGAACGCACACCTATGTCAAACAGCAGCTCCTCCTCTGTGCAGAACGCTGTGGCATTCTCTTGTACAACAATGTAGCTGGGAAATCTTACAAGGTGAGAGGGGAACAAATTCCATCCAAAGCCGAAGAGAGAGAGGTAGGAACAAGTCAAAGAGGTGGCAATTAGGAAGGGAAAGGGAAGACAGGTCTAGGACAGAAACAGAGAAGAACAGAGGACAACTCAGAGGAAACTGGACAACACGGGACATCCCAGGCCACATCACCAGCAATCCCCTCTGCCAAGCTGGGACGCAACTTAAAGATGCTAGGCAAGGCAGCCCAACCCTTCTTAATGAAATAAGTTAACTTTATTTTAGCATTAAAGCTTGTCTAGGGTTCAGAAAAACTAAAAATTTGTGTGCTCTCAGAGACAGCGAGTGCTAACGCAGCAATCTTGAGCAAACACAGAAGTGTCAGCATATCAGCAGCATTCACCAGACTCCTAGTTTTCAGGTATGTGCTAAAGCCTGTATTGAAAGGGGAAAGCATCAGCTCTGGGCAAACCTCAAAGCATGACAGCAGCCACATGCACGGTGAAGAATCCAAATCAACACAAGTTCTAGGAATGTGGCATACTCCCATGAGATGCTAACTACTTTCTGATTAAGTATTCTTGTTTTCCAAGTTGTGAACATCACACTAAGAATTAAGCCATCTAGGCTTCAGCCTTTAAGCAGGGAGTTGGGTTTAATTCCTCAAACTTTCCTCAATGACTAATGGGGGTCAGAAGAGAAAATGGTACTGCTCAAAATATTTCAAAGGTGGTTTAAGCAGGTTCAAGGCTAGAAAGAGAACAGTGATTGGGAGGCAGATGCTGTATTGACTGTTTTATGGTTATTGTTAGTTTTCTTTCAGGTTAAACAAGCTTCAGTTCAGTCAAGCATTTGATTTCCCTTTACCAGAATAATAACAATCTGCAGCCCAGTAAATCACCAGGGAACATTATGCACAGTGCTTCTGACTTTACCCAGAAAAGGCACAGATGGATCCAGAAAAAGATCAGAGCTACATACACGTGTATATGTGCCTACAAGAATGACAGTAAGTAAGGATTAGTTTGGAAGAGAAGGAGCATAGACAAAGCCCTACAAAGCAAGCAGCAAAGGGGAAGCCAGTAGCAAGATCCCAGGTCCTCTTCTATAAATGTAAGAAGGGAGTGGAGCCAGAAGTAAAAAAGCAAATAATCTCTCCACCCCCATCTTAAAATGGCTACATGGAAATGCTTTATAGAAATTCTGGTATCGTTAACTTGTAGACTCTCTGGTTGACACATTATCAGAGCAGCTAGCATACTAGGAGTCCGAATAGGGTTAAATGTTTTATATAAATTGTATTTGCAGTAACTGGCTATAAAATACCTTGCTTAAAATAATTGCCAACTAGGGTCACATATAAATTTCTCAGGACCAAGCAGCATAATTGGGTACTTCACATAAAATTCTCATATTGTGAATGGTATTGGTCATTGCTGGAAGCAGGCCAGGAAGATGAAGAATAATTTGCTGTGCAAAGATTATTTTTTTTTTTTTTAAACAGATCTGGATAGGAATGAACAGAAGCAAATTAAGAGCTCTGGAATAAAAAAAAATGCAAATGAAGGGCTAAGTCTTCCTTCTGTCTCCAGCTCTATGTACAGTTGCAGGCTTTTAATAATATGCACCTCTTCCTTCCTTGTCTGAAAAAGCAGGGTTGGTTTCCTATAAGTTTTGCTGAATTCCACTTACAGAGGTCCAGCACTTCTAAACGAAAGCCCTATGCTGCTGTCACTGAACAAAACTATAATTAGGGGCAAGTGTCTATATTAGGAGGCACAGAGCTTAGTTGGGGTCCTCCCTTTGTTGAGCTCCAGGTAACATTGCCCAGAGACCCTCTGGACCCACAGGCAAAAGCAGTTCCGCAGCCTTTGGGGGTGTGCAGCTAGCAACTCCCTGCATCTTCCCTCTCCTCTGTCAGCAGGTCACAGGACTGCTAGGTTACATGGGACAGAGTTCCGAGAGCAAGTCTACAGGAAACCCAGAAGAAAGGACTGCACCCAAGAGAAGCCTGGAGTGCCACTTAATGACAAGAGTCCCTTCCCTGTAGAAGGTTCCCTCCAGAATACTCTGGGAAAATATCAAGGCAGAAATGAGAGCTCCAACTCACCTCCCACATGGGTTTGATCCCTTCTTTGAAAAGATGGAAGTCACTATGGCCTGTCAGGTCCCCAGGACGTACCATGTGACTGTAAAACCGCCAGAACTGCTCCACCTGCAATGACATGAACCACACAATGAGGACGCTCAAACTGTTCACAGCCAAGATTCCTACAGAAACAGGCTCCCCTTTCTACACCAGCTGGCCAGAGCCACCTTCTCCTCTTCTGTTCTACTTACTTGTCACAAGGGTGTTGATTAGGATACCCAGAAGGCAGTGGTAGGATCAAAGCTTGGGTGCCTGTTTCTGACTGGCTCCATTACCAGATGACCACTTGAAATATTCAACAGGTACCTCCAAAATCACTTGGAGTTTGTCTGAAGAAATCTGTGCTAAGATAACTGCTGCTCTGGAGAACAGTTCCAAACATATCTTGTAAATCCTACTGCCCAAACTTTCAATTAGTGGAAATGCATCAAGTGCATCAGCTACAGCCAAGCCTCTCTACACTATACACATTAGCCCTGCATTAACCACTGCTCTCTGCAATCATGGAGACTGCAGGAGCCTCCAATTGAGACATTTTTTGTATTTAATTTTACTGTATCCAGGTTTTAAGACAAAAGACACATTCTGGTGCTGGTTTAAGATCTTAAGGCACCATTCAATGCTTTTATTTAAATACCTCTTACTTCCTTCTACAATCTGTCACGGTACACTTGGACCACTTTGACCAGTTTCCATTCTGGCACCCCTGTGTCTACTTCAGACAATCTGGCTGGAAGGCAAGGGAATTATTTCTTCTAATTCTTAAAAATAATGTATTCATCCTTTGAGATTCTCTGGACAAGAAAGGATTTTAGAGAGGCTAGATCTTTGAAACAAAAAAAGGCACTGGAAGAGAGTATACTAATTTCCATATTTTAAGAGGAGTCTACTCAGTAAGACAATAGCTATTAAGCAGATCAGCAGTGAAGCTGGAGGGGTCAGACATCATCCAAGGTACTTTATCAGAGATCTTAATGACTTGGTCAGCACTTGGAATTCTGCTCCAATCTCTGACCTCTGCCGTGCAAGCAGGAATTTGCTTTTATAGCCAATAAAATTATGAACCATGACTGAGATGGGGTCACAAGCAATCTGTTTTTGTCAGACACATCCAAATGCAGTGTGGAAATTACATTCCTGCACCCAGGGAATACGCCCTCTAGTGGTTGGCATTTAAAAGCTTTTAAAGCTTTCGACTGAAAAGTAAAGAACAAATCTGAACTCGGATTTAGGCTCAGACAATTCTCATTGAAGCTTGTTCTTCCTTCTTAAACAGAATTTGGAACCATAGACATTATCAGATCTGCTGGCCAGTCTCTCTCCATCATAACTGAACTCTCGCACTTCCAAACTACAATAGCACACACAAATTATTTGCAGCAAAGAGCAGACCACAGAATGCGTGAAGTTTTTCCTCTAAGGAGCTAAAAATCATTGTTAAGTCTACGCCGATTCAACAGACTGAAAAGTCATTACCAGATCGTCAAGTAGTAGCCACATTTTTCATTCACTGAACTAAAAGTACTCGCTCACACAAGGGAACAGGAGCAGTAACTACCCATGATGATACACTTAGAGCTATTCTTCCCACTCTTATCCTCTGTGGATGCAGTAACACAACCCAGCTGCTTGGACAGGTGTATTTTTGCAGCCTCCAGAAGGGATAAAGGGATATTTTTACAAATTCTCACATTACAGAACATAGAGGTTTACTGGCAGGCAAAATTAACATTTGCAAGGGACCCTAGAAAGTCTGGACAAATACTAGATTAAAAATAAACAAACAAAAAAGAAAGCAGCCAACAGACTTACTAGCCTTGAGAATGGTATTGTATGTGGTGCTTCAACAACGGAGACATGTCTTGCTTACATATTTTGGGCTCCTAGTGACAGTTTTACACCACTAGTACCATGCAACAACCCAACACTGCATTTCCAGGACACGCTCAATTTATTCCAGGATTAAACAATCACAAAGAGTGGAAGGGGAAAGGGAGAGCAGTTTGCCTTTTAGTGAATTTCACTGTGACACCAAACCGCACTCAGTCACCACTTCCAGATGGACAATGGGCCATCAGCTGCTTGTATATACAGGACACCAGACACTTGTTCCAAATACAGTCTTTGCGGTAGAAATACAGGCAGAGGGGAAGCAGGGGGGAAAGGCAACCGTGCAGTCTTTGCTTCACACCTACATTACATCCCAAAAAGCTGTTCCTTTCTTTTCTCGCTTACCAGTCAGGTTCTGCTCCAGCTAGCAGATTTAAGCTACATGGGAGTTCTTTTCATTTTCTGTTACTATTCCAGCTACCACCACTACTGCAGGCACAGATGTCTAGCACAGGGCAGAGGAGAACTGCTTAAGACATGCCAGCTGCTGTAGGTAACTCAAGAACTCATACTAAGTTATGGCAAATCACTCTCCGCTGTTCCTGACAACAAGAGCACAGCCTGCATGTACATACACCTAGCACACAGGGACCAAGCCAGCCACGATGACCACACCATGCCCAAGTGACACAAGGACAACAGGGATATACTCACGGAGGCAAAGGTGCCAATCTGTTTGATGTTCTGTTCATAACTCTGCGAGCTGGTAGGTCTCCCAGGTGTTCGTCTGGAGTACCAGAAGGTGTAATTGTACTGCAAGGGGTGCTCAGCTGGCCCTGGGACAACAGCCTGCAGAACAGAAAAGCTTGCTTACCCCTTATACGGTCCTCTAAAAGGGGAATGGGAAAAGTTACATTCACAGCATCAAACGTCCACATGTTCCTGCCCTCACAGACTATAAAACATACAACTGATCCTCACTTTTACAGAAAAATACTATCTCTGTTAATTGTCTGAAATGGACGATTATGCTAACAGTAGCTGACCATTCCAAATAATACTAGAAATTGGCAGTGTGGGGATGGCTAAGGAAATAATAATTTAAGCTCAGGAGAGCATCACAAAAAAAGCAACCCTCGTAACTATTAGAGGTAGTACTACTAAATTTTCCTTTAGTCCTTAACCATGCCTGTCTCAAAGGAAAAAAGACAAACTAAAAAGGGCAATGCAAGAGTTTTAGCTTTTTCAAATTAAGAAAAAAAAAAAGACACCCTCCTTCTCTGGGAAGAACAAAACCCATTATTCTAAACCATGATTCAAAAGCAATTATAACTGGTGACACCAACTCCCTTAAGCAACCAACACCCTAACACTCTGGAAGGATTAGTCTTGGAACTCGTTATGTCAGCTTTGGCAGAACCCATCGCTAGCAGTGGGCAGCGACCATTTTTCAATTTCCAAAACTCCTATTTCTGATTAAAAAGACTTCAAATGGGCATAACAGGCTAACAAGAACTCACTACCCCAGAGTCAAAACTGACAGAAAAAACCCCACCCAAACCAAAAAACTCTTATTCTGTATCACTCGATATTGTTACAGGAGTTACTAGGGCTTAAATCTCTACTATTGTCTTGTCTATGGTAAATTACAAGGATTGTATTACTTTAGACAGAATAGTTTTCCTAAGCACAAGGTTAAAAAAAAAACAAAACAGGATGGGTATATGCCTTCTTAACTAGGCTACACTACACATACAGAGACTCCTCTTAAGAGTTATTTCAACAGTGGCACAAACACTGCCTGGTAAACCAACTGCAAGCCACTATTCCCCAACAATCAGTCCTTCCCCCACACCCTTTTCCAAAAAAAAAAAAAATGGGGGAAAATAAAGCTTTATTTCCCATTTCTGTTCAAACGCCTGGCAGAGTACTGGCTACATTTGTGAAGGGAGCATTCACCCCTTGGATTATATACCTCCAAAAGCTACATCAAATTATCCAAATGCTAACGTAGCCCATTACAACAGTAACAGGACGTTAAGCAACCACAGCCCATCAAGATGGATTTTCCTTATCCCTGAGCTGAGGACTGACTCTCCAGTATCCCACATCATGCCTTAGCGATGGAATACAGATGCCAGAATCTTACCTTCCTCTTGGTAGTACTCTGTGGTTTCTCTCGATCATTCTTTTCCTTCTCACTGTCTTTCTGTGTGTTATTTTCCTCATTCTGGTCATGGTCTCCACTGTCATCATCTTTCAATCTGATAAAGAACAAAGAAAGTGAGTCTTACATCACACAGCTGAGAAGGTTCATATCAAGCCTCCATAGTCTCTGCTTCTAAGCTCCTCCACGGTACAAGGGTCATCAGGATTTGGAAAACTACACTTGACAACCCACACAGTAAAAACTACTACTTCTTTGCATGCTCAGAGCCCACCACAGGCATCTTAGGCACATACTTTCAAGCAGAAGCGAGCAACAAAATGCCTTTTTAGAACAAACTCAATCAGCTCATATTAGATGCTAATCTGCCACAGAAACCCTCAGCTACTTGTTACTGTCTCTAACTACTCACGAGGTGAACATGGAGACCCTTCACGGTAACTTAGCTGACTCTCTCCCACCAAGCTCCCCACGTCCCTAAGCCTAGCAGAAGCAGCCC